TGCTGTGCTGCAACATCGCAGCGAACACTTTTGAGAAGCAGAGTTGGCTTCTCATATGACTCGACTTAACCAGTGAATTATTTGTGAGTTTAAATTAGTATCAACTTCTCTTTTCTTTATCTGAATAATATAGAAGCACTTTTTAGATAGGTTACAGAAACGGGTGTTAAACTTAATAAAACTCTCAGATTTAGTTTTGTGTTAGTAGTTCAGATTGATGTGATGTACGGTTCAGATATGAACAGTGGGCTCCTACTGCTTCCTGTGTGAACATTTTAAAGAACTTGTCAAACCAGCTTGACTAAACCAAAGTTGTCCTGGGATAGATGTTAGCGGGCCCAACAGAACACTGACTAGATCATAACAAACTAGCTTCCCATTGTGAAGAGAAGTCAGACGGAAATTCTTTACTGATAATCAACGGCCAGAGTCATAATGATTTTATATTTGTCTCCTCATCCGTTTGGTTCTTCTGTATTTACATAAAGAATGCTGGTCGTCCTGTTACAGAGTCTGGTGCAAAGAAAGAAATACTTTTCACATTTAAAACGTGTATCTAGACTACGTAAGAACAAGCATAATCCTAAACTAACTGGATGAGTTGAGTAGTAATGATCAGTGATCCGAAGTTGTTTTAGACTGACTCCCTGACATAACTAAGGCAGATTTCCTCGTAAGAGGTTCATGCTATGTGTGAGTCATCTGGGCTGGGTCTTAAACATTGGTGCCTTGCCAAAGGGCAGGTCGATACTGCTCAAAGGACCAACCTTAGCACGCCTACTGGTTATGACCAATTGTAAACGGGAGCAGCATTTAAACTGTTGTCATGCTGCCTTTACTGACATAAAAAAATTTCACTTTGTTGCCATCAGCTGCTCTTTTTGCCCTTGTCACTGTGATCCCTTTATCCAACCCAAACAGCCACAAGCTAATAATGGCTCTTAAAGCTGTAGGACACGTGATTTAACCAGCTGTTTTATGTATATTTTGATGCAGAGTTTTTGTCAGTATTTTCAATATTTCTATTCAATGTTATCATCTTTTTACTGTGTGATAAATTCTGAAAATGTTAGATTAAAAATACACAAAAGCAAATAATTGGGGTGTTGAATAGTTCAAGGTCTTTTTCTATAAACAAAGGTCAGTACTGTAATAGAGCAGCAGGTCATACAGGAGAGAACCAGCTTTTCTGGTCAAGTATTACAAAAATAGAATTTTCTGAACTGTACAAAAATGTTTTAAAGAGGTAAAAAAGAATCTGTGCACATCACTATAGCTTCTGGGATTCGTGGTAGTGGCAGCATCATTATTTGGTTTTGCTTCTTCTTAATGGTAATAATTGAACGTCATGATCTCACAATGATGAAATTCACTTCTGCATTTTAACCTGTCCCCTTGGAGCAGTTGGCTGCCACTGGGCAGCACCTGGGGAGCAATCGGGGGTTAAGGATCTTGCTCAGGAACTCAGAGTAGAGGCTGTGGGGATTGAACCAGGTACTTGCAACCTTCTAAGAGCAGATCGTACTGCTCTGACCACTGCCACTGCAGCAGAAATAAGAAAGTTTGTTAGAAATTATGAGAGATAAGGAAAATCCTGGATTAGTCCCAGTTAAAGCCTGACTTAACTTTCTCATAACAAACATTCTCAGAAGGCACTTCAGTAAACAGCAGTGATTTGAGAGGCTGTCATACCTAAAGTGGACTGTAGATAGAGAAGTTCTTTCTTTAGGAATGAACTAAAGGCGAGGTCACATTTCCAGATTGTCCCTCTTGCGTTGTGGCGTGGAATAACAGCGCAGACCAATATCTGGCATAAATCAAAAATATCTGCGACAAGCTCACCGCAACACACTGCTGCAGGAGGATAACCAGCCCTTAAGCCCACAACTACTGGTGTTTTTGCTCTATTTATTAAAGTGGAAATGAATGTTAACCAAACTAACTTAATTTCGGAGATTGCGTCTAGCTATAATCAATTCTTACAAACTAAAATACATTTTTTGTCATGTTGCAGTACTCCAAGCGGTGATGCCCTGATTAATTTCTGGTTTTGCTTACCAATTCATTGCTAATAATATATTTAGTCTGTTGGAAACACTGAAAAAAAGGACTCATAAAAAAACAAAACATGAATATATCTTTAATACATAATGTTTTACCTATAGTCTGACTTATGACCTATTTTCCTATCTTTAATGAAGGCAACACATTTTCAACAAGTTATTCACTTAATTTGTTTCTCCACTCTTGGCCTCCTCTGCTGCCTCTGTCTTTGTTGTAACAGCCTTGTTGAAATTATATTCCCAGATATTTAACTAAGTCACATGACCTCACGTTTTGCTGAGCTGGCATCAGAGAGAACTGTATCTCAACTATTTTGTTTTGCTGTATAATGTTGCCTCTTTTCTAACTCCCATGGAGGAGTCATGAATCCTTTCAGTTCCTCTTTGTCCTCTCCTGTCCCCTTCCTCTCTTCATTTTCTATCCTCCTGCTCAGAGTCATGTCTTTGCAACATAACAGTTTTTAGAAGTTCCTTCCTGAGCGCTTGTTTCTGTTGTGTCAGCACGACACTGCACACGTGTTCAATAGAGCAGCTTATATCACTATTGTTATGTTTAATTCATATATAGATATCTGCATATTTACAAGTCATGCTTGCCAAATAATCGTGTTTTAAAGCAATAACAAAATAACGGACAAAATGTTTTGAAGCTAGTGATATTTCACAATGAGCATGTTTTTAAGAGTAACAGTTGATAAACTGATGCCGCTCCGAACACCTCGGCTCAATTACAAATTTAGCTGCCGATTAATTCAATAACTGATTAATCAGGACTTCTCCAATTCAAGTGTAGAAGAAGTCTGATCCAGACGTCGATGGCTATGTTTACAAGAAAGAAAAATGTCATGATCTGCTTTAAATGTGTTCGGATGAAAAAAAAAAACCTTACACTTAGACAACTTTTATGGTAAATTTTTTATAACATTTTTTTGGGGGCTTTCGGACAGTGACTGAGCAGCAGCTTAGCAGTGAAATTAATATTTTAATTCCATAAAATGCAGGAGTGATCAAATGTAAACAGTGTGGGAGAAAAAAAACATGGTACAAAAAACGCATTGATATGGAAGTTTAGAGCATTTCAACTAGGGGTGTGCAAAATAATCGTGATGATGATGCATCGTGATTCTAATTTTCGTGATCTACTGCATCGATTCTTGATGCCAAGAATCGATTATTAATTTTAAAAAATGAATAAATACAATTGCATGAATGGTTTGGCGAACATCAGCCAAAAACAAGTGCAATACCACTTCCAGTCCAGTAGATGTCGCTGCAAATGTGTTGACACACTGCCTTGTGTCACAAGCATTTCCGGCTGTGGGATACTGTGCCGAGTCATTCAAAAACAAAACATGGAGGAGAAAATATTGCAATGCATCGCAATAATTCAAGTATCGTGATGCATCGTGATAGAATCGCATCGTGGCCTGTGAATCGTGATTTGAATCGAATCGTGACTTCTTTGGCAATACCCACCCCTAATTTCAACACAGATATGTACGGTAAAAATATACAGTATTTTGGTTTCATCTTATCTGTGAAATGCAGAGTCTGTGACTTGATTTGGAGTTTTTTCGACAGTTCAGTTGTCTGATAGCAGTGGGGTAAAAGCTGTTGCAGGATGGGTGGGGGCAGGTGATCTCTCCTTATCCTCTGCAGGAAGTACATGCGCTTCTGTGTCCTTTTGTCCAGTGAGGCGGTGTTAACAGTTCAGGTGAGGGTGTCTGTAATCTGCACACCCAGGAATTTGGTGCTGCTGAGCAACTCCGACGGGCTCCTTTCCTGGTCTGATCCTGGATCCAGGCCTCTGCTGTCCAGCCTGGACACACAGAGAATGGTTTTATCTAATATGGACCAGAAAGCCCTTTACAACGGCTGCACAAAAGCAATAAACCAAAGACACCTTCAGAACCGGCTGCTCTGCATCTGGACAGAAAAGCTTCAGAAAAAAAGCATCCCAGTGGAGGACTTTATTCAAGCCTCCAACCTGGTGATCTCCAATGGAGGATTTCACACGGTGCCATCGCCACAAACAAATTTTTATTGCTTATTAATTGGGGTGTTTCAAACAAGTGACCTTTTTGCAGTCTGTTTGAAAATGCGTTCCACATTTTTATGGAATGCACAAGACCAAAGACTATTTTTAGCCTTTTTATTAGTGCTTTTAGTCTTTTTGGGATGGTTTTTACAAACGCTCTTTTTATAGGGCTTGTTTTAAGTCAATAATTGTTTATATGTTTTGAATTGTGTAAATAAAGTGTTGTTAAAAGTCATTTTACCTTAATATGAATAACTGGATCCTTTCAAGCGTTTACCTGCATGCAGATTGATTGTCAACATAAACCTCCCTATTTAGACGGATAACAATGTATCTAACAGCCAGTCACTTATGTCCGACTGAAAGTAGCTTATGTGTTGCACAACTCTGTAACTATATGAAGTAATTTCCCTGATAAGAAGAACTAGATTTGCTGGAGTCTTTTGATAAATTCTTAAATACCAATGTAAAGTTCAGGTCATAATCCCATCAAAAAGATTTCTGGATTAGTGTCGCACTGAAGCTTTCATGTTAATGTCTGTTTTTTTCAAAAAAAATTTCTCATTGTGTCTTTAGTGGATTCTGTTTAATGAAAGTCTAAACTTTGCATCTGGCTTTTAAAATATTTGTTTCTTTCACTTTTTTTCTGTTATAAGTAAAAAAAAAAAAAAAAAAAATGTATCAACAATGATATCCAGCACAGGATTAGATACAGAAAAACAGACCCCAGCTATAATATTACCACTACCTTGGAAGTTTCAGCATAGAGAACTAATCTGCATCACTATGTATAATATTGTGTTTATAATCGGAAAGAGATTACATCAGATGTACAGTATAATAATGTCAAATGACCATTTCCTGTGAACAGCTGCGTTAACTTTGTTCATCTGTTTCAGGTACTGATTGCTGAGTCTCCTGTGATGGAAAATCCTGGTAAGAAAACCTCTAAAATATTACCACTCTATAAAGGCAAATGTTCAGTGTTCAAACTTCTTCACACACATTTATTCTTTGTACATAAGAAACCTGTAGATAAGCGCTTAAAAGATTAAGCTGAATTACATCAGTCTTTTTTTTTTTTTTCATCCGTCTGCTGGAGTAACAGTTTGTTTTAAGAAGTGAGATACTTCAGACGCTGAAAGCTACATTTTGGGTTTTAAAATTTTAAAATTCTATGGCAAATCTTTCCAATAGGAAACGCTCTTAAGGAGTGAAAGGACTTACAGCAAAGCAGACATTTCCCAGTGTCAATATTCAGGATTAAGTGTAGAATAGAGATAAAGTTATCAATTATGAATTCATCTAAAATTGATTGTTTTTGTTTTTTTATTTTAAAAAAGAAAAGATAAATAGAATATGCAAAATACTTGTACTTTCCAGTATCACCATATAAAACTATAAATTTAAAGAAAAAGTCCAGGCTTCAAGGGATGATCAATGGATCATTATTTATATCTAAAACTAATATGTTCACGGTCATTTAATGAATTTAGCATTATTCACTAAAAAAATAAAAAGAATAATTTTCGCTTTGATCAGTGAATCCGGGAGCGGCAATTTTTGCTCAAATATAGAAACACCTCACTCCTGACATCTTCTGGCATTGACGTCACGGACTTCACCATTGAAATTCAGCAGAGCTATAGTGAAACTGACAATGCCCACGTGCATGGCAGTTGGTTTTGGAATACATCGGGTAAAAGTCAAAAGAAAAAAAGAGTTATTTCACCTTTCCGATTCTTAATCCTCCACGGACGGCTTCGTCGTTGGATTGCCAACTTGAAGAGGGAGGATTTGCCATCAAATTTCTGGCCAGAGAAAAAACACGTAATATGTAGCCAACATTTGTCATTTATTTTTCATGTTGCACCAGTACACTTAATGAGCAACATGTACTTGTGTGCTTGTTTGTTCTTAATATAAAATTTTTTTTTGTCCGATTCATCGATTAATTGAAAAAATAATCGGCCGATTCATCGATTTTTAAAATAATCGTTAGTTGCAGCCCTAGTAACGAGTAATCTAACTAATTACTTTGACTGTAACTATACCATTGTTATCATTGCAGACACCCCGTTACTGCGCGTTACACAGGTCGCACAATGAACCTCTTTTCATGATAGGACTCGTGCGCTCCTTGTCATGAGAGAGGGGAGGATGAGACTGGCTGATGTATAGTGAGATTCCGTCTGTCACTTGGGTAGGTGGGTGTTTCTGCTGGTGGGTGTTAACGTACAGCACACACAGAGAGATGGAGAGTGAGGATGACTCCAGCAGCAAAACAGCGTTTTCCACATGGAAATACTGGTGTTACATCGAGCTGCGTTTCCCCATCACATACGGTTTCCCCTGCATCTCCGCACAGCGCAGGCGGCACGATTCACCGTGCAAGCGACAGGAAATGCGCATGCACGCTAAAGGCGCGCAACAATCGCCCTGTGCTCGCGCCACAGAACTATGGAGAGCGTGAACATTCAAATGACAGCCTATATGGAGAAAAGGAGAAGGATGGATGGATGGATGGATGGATGGATACTCTGCCTTTTCAACCTACTGTATTTTTTATTTTAAACATTATTTGATGGCCTTTGTGGCAGGGATGGAGATCCATATTTTATGTCACACACAGAGTATACATCTAGATAGATAGATGGATAGATAGATGTTGCAGTATCAATAACAACCCAAACACACAGGATTTCAGAATTGGACATCCCCAGTTATTAATTTCATATACTCACCAGATTTGAATGCCCTGTTGAAAATCATGGCGTTCCCCCCTGATGTCATTTACGTTGAGTTGCAGTAAATGCAAAACTCTGCAGGTTCTTGTCTTTGTCGTCCACTCTATTCAGCTGGCTTTGGAAACACACAGTGAGAAGGTGGGGGCTGGGTGGTGAGGTGAGAAACGCAAAAGTAACGCAATAGTTACTTTTACTAGTAACTAGTTACTTTTATTGTGGAGTAACTCAGTTACTTTTTGGGAGAAGGAACTAGTAACTATAACTAATTACTTTTTCAAAGTAACGTGCCCAACACTGATAATAATAGCTCGTGACAAACACCAGATAAAGCACTGGGAGTTGATCAACAGCCGATACCGCACCGTGACGTCACTAACCAGTAGGTGGCAGTAGTGTTCTTTGACAAACATGGATGCCTCCAGTAAAGCACATTCAAATGAAAATTACTCTTAATTAAATACACTTATATTTTTTTGAACAGTATGTAACGATTTCATGTTTAAAGTACTTTCAGAAGTTTGTATTCTGAATATGACCAGACTTCTACTTGAAATGACATAAAGGCAGACATTTTCCAGCATTCATTTTCAGGATTAAGAATGGAACAGAGAGGAAGTTATCAATTGATGAATTTATCTACAGTTGATTGACCTTTGTATTGTTATATTTTTGTAATAACGAAAAGATAACTAGAATATGCAAAATACTTGTACTTTACAATCTAACTGTATAAAATGATAATTTTAAGATGGGACATGTCTCTCCAACATGCAGTTGGATTTGAAGTGGGCGCTAACTGTGATTCAGTTCTCTGTTTTTAATGTAATCCAGTATTGATTGGTTGGAAAGCCTTTGTGTATTAGCCAAGCTCTAAAACATGTGATTCTGGTTGCTCACAGAGAAATGTTGAAAGTTGGCTTTATAAGGTACATTAACTTACAAAAAGATTTCCTTGCATAAATGTATAGATAAATAAATACATGAATGAATATAGAAATAGAGACACCAATGAATGTATAAATGCATAAATAAATCATTGAATAAATAAATTAATATGTTTTGGTCGTTAAAAAAAGCTGACTCTATATTTTTTACTTTTATTTTTTTATTTATTTATTAATTTATTCATGTATTTTCTCCTTTTTTATACATTTCTGTAGTAATTTATTTATTTTAACATTCATTTATTTCAACATTTCTTTATTTACACATTAATTTTGTTCTACAGTTAGAGCAGCTAATAAAGCGAAAAACATTCCAAAAATATTGACATTGTGCTTTTAAGGGAAAAAAACTTTAAATCCAGTGTAAAAACTAAAGTTAGCTTCTTTTTATTTATCAATCGGTGAATTGGAGATAAAAAGAAGGTGTGGGCGTTCAGGTTTTACTGTATGGCACGTTTTTATCACTGAAACCTGCTGATAGGTCGCCACACACACCTGCTGGTTTTTTCTTACAGCCCCACACGGCCTTGAATCTATTTCACCATTGACCTCAATCATTTAACAAGCTCTACGTATCGCTGCACACTTAGGTTGCAGCAGGGCTCTTCTTCTCTTGGCTCAGTTGGTGCAGTGCAGTTGACATTGTTGTGGTGAAACATCCAAGATGGCTGTGAAGTCTTTATGTATTTGTAAGTAAACCTGTTTTTTGTATATGATGTATAAACTTATTGACTTTGCTTTTATCTCAGTGCGGCTGGTATCTGATATCTTGAGGTTACGTGATTAAGCAGGGCAGGGTGCCATTAGTGCTTTAGTAATAAGAAGGCCACGATGAGGACAGCTTAAGGAAGCTTGATGCACTCCTCTCTACCATGACGTGTGGTTGCTCAGTAAAAATAAACTCCATTTCCTCATCAGCTCTGTGTTAGAACGGATTTTGTGATCTCAGCATACAGTTGTTAGACAGCAGCAGTGACTGAGAGCATGTTTGGTTTTGCTGTCACACAGCTATATTGTCATAGGCTTTTTTTGGAAGAGCCTGTTTGCTTTGTGCTCGTCCTTAGAATAAAATACAAAGGAAGGCTCTCATTTGTCATTATCGCTGTATAATGAAACTGATTCAGCTTCCACTATCCTGTTTAGGAAAGTAAATAAGGATTGTAAAAAAGGCACACAGTTAATATGGGTTGAAAAACTAAATAATCAAAAATGAATACATGTGTAGCTTTGCTCAGATCTATTGGTCTTTTTGTTAGATTTTTAGACCAGCAATGTTTTTTGTTTGTTTACTTGTTTTTTTGTGCTCGTTCTGTTCTTCAGGTAAAAATATAGATTGAAAATTAAATATTTAAGAAAACTAGGACGGTGTAATATCTTTTTCTGTGACTGTATAGATGGATGAATAGCAGTATGTTTCAACAATATTGTACTCGTTTGCTGCAGCAAAAGGAAATTAGGATGTTGAATCTATAACAAAGATTTTGGACTTGTTAAGATGATAGAGATCGCTTGAAGATATTTATGGAGTGTAAAGGCCCACAAAGAAAAACTGTTCCTCAGTCTGTTTACAGTTCATGAGCCTGAACCTATTTCCAAAAGGCGGATGGCTGATCATGTGATGTTCAGGGTGCCAAGTGACCTTAGTGACCCTCAGCAGTGGGTCAAGGACTTAGTGCTGTAGGTATCAATATCATGGAATTAGACAAACAAAACCTCAGTATTCCTGGACCGTTGTCTGAACTACTAACTTGTACCAAAAGCTGCCTTGTGATCTTGCATTCCTGACATGGGAGAGTAATGAAGGTTACCAAGTTGCAGCACTTTAAATGGCCTGTAGAGGGAGCTGGAGAACTACAGTACAACTTGATGTCTTATGAGTAATACAAGCATGATGAATGATTAAGCATTGCTTTCGGTTTGACTCACCTCCATCAGTTTCTGTTGAAGAAATCATTTAAATGGACAGCAGGGGGCTGAAGATGAATAAATATTTGAAAGGTGTAGGGGAAGTGTTAAAGGAGGCCTTAGAATATGAAGTACCTGAGACCTGCTCTTATATTTGGCTAATATGACAGAAGAAAAGAGCTGGTATAGATGAATAATAAAAGCCCTACAAGCAGCCAGCAGGAAAACTATAACAAGACAGTGGCACAAAGTGAAAGAAATGTTTGACATAGAAAGATTAACATGTATAGTACAGACCAAAAGTTTGGACACACTTTCTCAATCAAAAAGTTTTCTTTAT